TCCTCCTGACTCAGCCTCCCTAGCTGCTGCTATTACTGGTGTGTACCACCATGGCTAGTTGAATATTTTTTAAAATATTTTCCCCTTGGGCTGGGGATGTGGCTCAAGATGTGGCTCGCCTGGCATGCGCAGGGCGCTGGGTTGGATCCTCAGCACCACATAAAAATAAAATAAAGATGTTGTGTCCACCGAAAACTAAAAAATATTTTAAAAATTCTCAAAAAAATTTTCCCGAGATTTTATGATCATTACTTATAGGAGGGATTAGTCTGATTAACCTTACCTGCCATTATCGGAAACCAGAACCAAAAAATACTTAATTTCCACGTGGCAACAACATCTACATTTTCCAAGTACCTGAAATCCCTTTCATCTGCTCCCATGGAACCTCTACCCATTCTGAAGACTTGATTCTAACTTTTGACCCCCTTGAGCTACTGTGGCAGCTCCTTTTTCCTTCCTATTTTTCATTGGGTACATGACCATCTAGAATAAAGACTATTATTTACCAGCTTCTCTTGTAGATACACATAGTTGAATTAATGAAGTGTGGTTGTTTCAAGTTGAATTCTCCGGAGTCAAAAGTGAAGATGGAATTTGGAGTGCAAGATATTTATTAGGAATCAATACCTGTGAAAAGAAGGGTGCCTACCTGGGGCAGGAGAAGTGCAACTGTAAGCCCTTGGCCACCCCAGTGGGAGCTTACCATCACCTGTTGCCTGCCAAAATATACTTCATACAGCCAATATGGCTGGGCCTTTATTGCCTCACTGTCTTAGCCAACAGATAACAAACCACTCTGGGCATACATGACTCAGAAAAGTGGCTCTGTGTAACCTGAAGGAGCCAAAAACCAGAAGCGAACCACATTCCCTACAGCTGGGCAGTGTATTTATTAGGATTCTCCAGAAAAACAGAGCCAATAGTAGATAGATGGATTTAAATATAAATATATTTTAAGTATAAAGAATTGGCAGTCAAGTGTGGTGGCTTGTACCTACAATCCCAGCTAATGGGAAGCTGAAGCAGGAGGATTTCAAGTTTGAGGTTAATCTGGGCAACTTGACAAGACCCTGTCCCAAAATTTAAAATTAAAAAAATAAATCTGGGGGGCTGGGGCTGTGGCTCAGTGGTAGGGCGCCCGCTGTGCACGTGTGAGGCCCTGGGTTTGCTCTTCAGCACCACATAAAAAAAAATAAAGATAAAAAAAATCTGGGGATGTAGCTAGTGATAGAGTATTTGCTTTGCAGGAAGCAGTACAAGGCCCTGGGTTCAACCTCAAGTGCCAAAAAGAAAAAAAAAAAAAAAAAAAAAAAGCTGGATGTGGTGGTGAATACTTTTAATTCCAGTGATTCTGGACATTGAGGAAGGAGGGTCAGGAGGATCACAAGTTCCAGGCCAGCCTCCGCAACTTAGTGAGACTCTGCCTCAAAATAAAAAGTAAAAACAAAAAGGGTCTGGGGATGTGGCTCAGTGGTTAAGCTCTCCTGGGTACAAAAAAAAAAAAAAAAAGAAAAAAAATTATCTGGTTTCAGATAATGGCATGCATGGTTATGGGAGCAGACAAACTCAAGATCTGCATCTGCAGGGTGAGTCTACAAGTTGGCTGATCCAGGAGAGCCAATGATGGAGTTGTAATCAGATTCAAAGGTCTAAGAACCAGGAAAACTGATGGTATAGTTTCAGTCTGAAGGCTTGTCCCAGGAAAAATGGATGTTTTGGTTAGAGTGTAAAACAGAAAAAAAAAAAATGATGTCAAAAAGCAGACAGGAAGAATTCTCTTAATTTAATGAGGGTTTGCTTTAAAAAAAATTTTTTTAATGGTACTGGGGCTGGGCATGGTGGTACACAACTGTAATCAGAACAGCTTGGAAGGCTGGGGCAGGAGTATTGCAAGTTCAAAGCCACTTCATAAACTTAGTGAGACCCTGTCTTAAAAAAAAAGGGCTAGGAATGTAGGGATGTGTCTTCATTGTTAAGTGACCCTGGGTTCAATCCTTGGTACCAAAAAAAAAAAAAAAAAAGATACTGGAGATTGAACTTAGGGCCTGTTGCATACTAGACAATTGCTCTACCACTGAACTACCTCCCTAGCACCTCCCCTGTTTTCTTTTCTTGTGGTATTAAGGATTGTACTCAGAGGTGCTCTATCACTGACCTACATCCCCAGCCCTTTTTTATTTTATTTTTTGAGATAGTGTCTGGTTGGCCTTGAGCTTATGATCCTTTTGCTTCAGTCTCTTGAGTAGCTGGGATTAGGGTCAGCCTTTTGCTTTATTTAGGTCTTCGACTTATTGCCTGAGACCCAACCACATTAGGGAGTACAATCTGCTTTACTCCAGTCATCCAATTTAGTTCAGACATCTAATTTATTAATTTCATAAACAACCTCTCAGAGAATCATCCAGAATAATGGCTAATATCTGTGCACCCTGTGGTATAGTCAAATTGATACATAAAATTGACATATATCCATTGGGGATGTAACTCAGTGGTAAAGTGCTTACCTAACAAGTTCAATCCTTGGCATCACACGCACGCGCGCGCGCGCGCGCGTGCACACACACACACACACACACACACACACAAAGGGACTAACAGTGGCAGAATCTTGTATCATCCCTGTGTCTACTTTATGGATAATATCCATAATCCATAAAGAGTGGAGTGTGTAGTCCTTTGTCCCTTCACAGAATATCTGGAACTTGAGCAGCTATTTCCGACTGAAAGGTGGAAGTCACATGCTGAATATGCAGGAACAAGAAGTTGCTGGGCTGCTAACTTTGTGAAACCACACTACTGGCCTTGAATTTCCTATTTCTGATTTTGTGCCCAGCTCCAGTTACATTTTGACAACTCAGTTGAACATTCATAAGCAAAACAAAGACTCCAACCTAAACATTACACATTATACAAAAAGTACTTCAAGATGGATCACAGATTTAAATGTAAAAGTATGAAGGTTTTTTTTTTTTTGTATGTTTGTTCTGGTGGTACCAGGAGCTCTTTACCACTGAGCTACATCTCAGTCCTTTCTATTTTTAAGACATTGTCTAAGTTGCCAAGACTGGTTTCAAAATTGCAAGATCTTTTGCTTGGGTTTTCAAGTAGCTTGGATTACAGGCCTGGGCCACTCACCACTTTTGGCAAAAAGTTTTTAGGTAAAAAAATGGAGAAAATTTTGGGGATGGAGTGCCAAGCAAAATGTTGAGGGCTAGGGATGTAGGTCAGTGGTAAAACACTTGCCTAGTATGTGGAGGTCCTGGGTTCAATCCTCAAGAGGATGGGGGGCCTTTGATTCGACATCAAAATCCTAATCCATAAAAAGGAAAAATTGATGAATTGTACTTTATCAAAATTATGTGTTGGCCAGGCACCTGTAATCCCAGTGGCTCTAGAAGCTAAAGCAAGAGGATAGCAAATTCAAAGCCAGCCTTAGCAAAGCAAGGCACTAGGCAACTCATGGTACTGGGGCTGGGCATGGTGGTTCAGTGGTCAAGTGCCCTTGAGTTCAACCCCCGTATCCCCCCCCCCCCCCCCCCCCAAAAAAAAATGTTTATTCTGTGAAAGAGACTGTTAAGAAAATATTTGCAAACTACATAACTGACTGGTATCGAATATATAAAGAATGAACAAAACAATAAAAAAAAGACCACTTCAACTAAAAATTGCAAAAAGAGACATTTTTTTTGAGAATCTACAGATATCAAATAAGCCTATATAAAGATGTTCGGTGTCATTAGAAATTAGGGAAATGGGGCTAGGATTGTAGCTCAGTGGTAGAGGGCTTGCCTAGCTTGTGTGAGGCCCTGGGTTTGATCCTCAGCACCAACTAAAGATAAATAAATAAAGGTATTGTATCCATCTAAACTAACTAACTAAATAAATAAATAAAATATATATAAATAAATAAATTAGGGAAATGCAAATTAAATCACAATCACAATTAGATATCACTTTTCATTTATCAGAATAGCTAAAGTAAGAAAGTAACACTAAATCCATGAGGATGCAGAGACACTGGATCGCACAAACATTGTTGAAAGGAACGTAGAGTGGTACATTCTGAAATACAATTTGTCCAGTTTCTTAAAAACAAACAAAAAATGGGGCTGGGGTTGTGGCTCAGCGGTAGAGCGCAGTGGCCCACGACCTTATGCCACAGACACTAGACGCTGGGGCAGGAAAATGGCAAATTTGAGGCTAGTCTCAGCAATTTAGGAAGACACTGTCTCAAACAAGGACTGGGGATGTTGCTTAGAGGTAAAGCGCCGCTGGGTTCAATGCTCAAGTGCCGCAAAAACAATAATAATAAAAAACCCCAAAACCAAAACATGAAACTACCATGCAAGCCAGCAATTGCACTACTGGGTTCTATTACTATAATACCATTTCAAATATGAAGAAACTTAAGTTTTGAGAAATTGGGTGATTAAAGACGCTTCCATTCTAGGAGAAGGCAGCTTCTTTCAAGACACTCACACGTGAGATGGTCACATCCCACAGCTCCAGCCCGTCACATAGAGCCCAGGCTGAACACTCCATGCTAGATAAGCCAACAAGACTTCAAACCCAGGCCTCCTTTCGGGTCCGGCAGTTGGAGGTTGCTATCAGTTCCTGAACCCGACCCCAACTCGCCTTTCCTAAACCTTAGGCGTCTACCCTAGGTGGTAATTCCTCCGCGGCCCAGTACATCGCAAATCGTCCTTTAAGTTGTAGCACAGCCAGTTCAATGGTAGAACAAAACGCCAGGGGCCAACGTCGAAGGTCAGCAAGTAGGCTGAGCCGGGGGCGTTCGCTTCGCCTAGCCCCACCTCCCAGGTGGTTGGTTGAGCCTCCAGTGCAGCTGAGCTTCTACCACATCACTAGCCCCGCCCCTTCCTTGGGGGGAGAGTGCCGAACACATCGAACGCAGCCAATGAGTGAAGGAGCGGCTGCATGGCGGGAGGTTCGATTGACCCAGCCTGGCGGCTGTTAACGCGCGCTTGGGGAAGAGGAAGGTTAATGGGGAACTGCGTGTCCCGGAATCCATCTCTGCCTCTCTTTTCAGCCCCTTCTGGGATTCCGTTCCCAGTTTGGGTTTTTATTGGTCCTTCTTGGATCCTTGCTCGACCTCCCTCGATCCAGTACGCTATCCGCACTCCAGCCCCGGGAAATCCCCCTCTTCCGGATGCAGGCTCCTCGCCCTTCCTAGGCCTCGAACTTTAACCCCAGCTTCTTTCTTCTGGACCTTGGTTACCGCCCCCACCTCTCATCGATCTCCTCTCTTAACCGAGACCATTATCCTGACTCCACTCTGCCCATTCTGGGACCCCCCTGTATCCTCCCCATCCTAGATTTATACCCTACTCTGCCTTGACACTTCCTCTTTGGTCTACTCTCTGGACTCGGCTAACTGACGATCAACATTCTCGCATTTTGGACTCCTACTCCTGGCTGGGTCCCCTCCATCCATGCCCCCTTTTTAATTAGTCCATATTCTGAATAATATAGCAGTTCCACCTACATCAACCCCTCGTCCTGCATTCTCTGCTGCTGAGTGCCTTTCACCTTTGGCTGATGGATACTTGACGTTTGGGCCCCAGGATGGTAAGTGTGAACCTAGGGGAGACAGGAATTCTGTCTAGGTTTAATGGGCTCAGGCTGAGGATCCATTTCCATTCTCCCCTTACAGAGGAGGAGCTTAGCTCCCAGTCAGCTGGCCAGAAGGAAACTGGAAGGCAGATCTGATGATGAAGAAGACTGGCAGCCTGAGGCAGTGGTGAGTGCCCAAGGAGATAGGGAAGGTGGGAATTCAGGTTGTTTGGGCAGAAAGGAAGCCTGGACTTGGTTTCTGGGTTTACATAGTCACCTCCCAAAGTCATATGTTCAGTAGTGTAATTGATGCTCCCCCTCTGTGCCAGGCATTGAACAGATTAATAAAATTTTGTAGCTTCACTAGAAGCTAATATAACCTTAGTTTTCCTGTTGGGAGGGGTACACCAAAGCCAAGAAACAGCTCAGGTTGATCCTTTGACTCTTATGGGGGAGAGGGAGGGGATAAAGGCCTTTACAATAGTAACTAGCAGCCTCCTATTTGTCCCTTGCCCCATGTCACAGAATAGTAGAATATTCTGGACCTACCTTAAAATCCTGAGCTTAATTTGGCCTTTCAGTCTTGCTCATACTCAAGTGCAATATGTTCTACTTTGGACTGAGGTCTGTGCTTTGCTTCATGCCTTGGAGGCTTGCTGGTTGTGGACAAGACCTATATAAAAGTAAACAGAGTCATGCAATAACTACTTTAAAGGGAAAGAGAGCAATTTAAGAATCAAGGGTTTGGCTAATGGAGCTTTGGAGAAAAGGATCAGCTAAGGAAGGAAGGCACTTTTTTGTAGGACAGTTTGTAAGTAAAGGCATGTAAAGGGTGGAATGAGGCCTGGTGTTTGCTTCAGATTGCCTTAAGAATCACTGAAGGGCTGGGGATGTGGCTCAAGTAGTAGTGCGCTCGCCTAGCATGCATGAGGCACTGGGTTCGTTTCTCAGCACCACATAAAAATAAAAAAATAAAGATATTGTGTCCACCTAAAACTAAAAAAAAAAAAAAAGAATCATTAGAGCTTCAAATAACTTGACAAGCTGGTACAAGAGGGGTTCATTCCTGATTGCCTATTGGGGCCTTCTCTTTAGTTGCATCGCTGGTGGGGATTTTTCCACCTGCTAAGGGAGGCACATTAACTGTCCCTTGTATGTCTTACACTTGAACTTGTGGCATCATTCTCTGCAGGTGGATCGGGGATGGAGCTGTGTGTTGCTCCTGAAATGCGTAGTGCTAGTGTCTTCACTGCTGTGTGGTGGACTGAATTGGGGGTGATGTGAGAGTTGGGTACAGCTGTACTCTTGTCCACCCTTTGGGAAACTCAGGAAGGGAAACACTTGGTTGGGTCTGCTATGATTCCATACTGCTGGTGGGCTTGCTTTTCCCAGGCTTACTTCATTTACCTCTTCCATTGTTTTTCCTTCATTTGAGGCAAGTTACTTGATCTCATTAAGCTCCAGTTTTTCTAGAATTAAAAAAGGATATCCTACTAAAGAAGGATAATAAACAGGATTGCTGTGATAATACATGTGAAGACGTTAGCACTTCATCTGGCACTTAATATGTACTTCTTTTTTTGTTTTTTTTAAAAATAAGATGGAGCTATACTGTGTTGCCTAGGCTGGTCTTAAATTCATGGGCTCAAATTGATCCTCCAGCCTGGGCCTCTCAAGTAGCTGGGACTACAGGTGTGTGCTACCACACCTGGCTCTAATAAATCACTTTAAGGGCTGGGGTTGTGGCTCAGTGGTAGAGTGCTTGCCTAACACGTGTGAGGCCCTGGGTTTGATCCTTAGCACACATAAAAATAAATAAATAAAGGTATTATGTGAATTTTCAACTAAAAAAACAAATAAATAAATATTTTAAAAAATCACTTTAAGTGTTAGTTTCCATTAGGGTGATTTCTGGTCTTTCAGACCTCAGCTTGCCATTTCTTTTCTTAGACACAGAAGAAACAGAAATCCAGTAATGAGACCCAGATCCAAGAGTGTTTCTTGTCCCCTTATCGGAAACCTTTAACTCAGCTAACAAATCGACCACCCTGTCTGGATAGCAGTCAACATGTAAGTCAAAACTGCAACCTACCTATGTATATGTATGTCCAGTCCTTTTGCCTTAGTAGATTCCTACAGTAGAGACTCTATCTTCGACATTGTAGCCAGCCTGTCTATAGCTGTTGTGGCCTGTTGAGACAAGGGTGCCTGAGTGAGAGTTTATTTTTACTATGTTTACTATGTTTATTATTACTATGTGGGCACCAGATCTCAGGTGGTTCAGATTCCTAAAAAAATGAAAATAGAGGAGAGGGAAGGCTATGATGGGGTGTTAGACCCAGGATCCTTATGGTACCTTGGTCTCTAGCTCTATTTATGGCTTTGTGGACTACAAGAGTCCCATCCATACCTTTTTGTGTTTCCTCTAATAAAGTCAAATCACCATCATGGGTTCTGTGTGTTATCTCCCTGACTCCAAAGCTTCCTGAGAAATGTTTTAAAGGAAAAATAGGAACATGTAATTAAGGTTATTCATTTGTGCGTTTGGCAAGTAATTTTATATAATTATTTTCAATAATTATAAAAAATTGTGTAACATGTCATAAAATAAACACCTCCAAGCCTACTTCCTAGGACTAGAACTTGGCCAAATTTATATTGCCTTTCCACATCCCTAGTGGTACCACTACTCTGAACTGGTTGACTAAATACTTTTTTTTGCAGAGGGTAATACTGGGGATTGAACACAGGAGTTCATGCATGCTAGGCAAGTGCTCTACCACTGTACTATATCCCTAGCCCATTTATTGTATTTTGAGGTAGGGTCTAGCTAATTTGCCCAGGCTGGCCTTGCTTGAACTTCCAATCCTTTTGCCTCAGTACTTAAGATTACAAACATGTACTACCATGCCTGGCTAAATAATTTTTTCTTTTTTTTTTTTTTTTTAACTAGGGATTGAACTCAGGGGAACTTTACCACTGAGCTACATTCCCAGCCCCAACCTGCCCCCAAGCCCTGCCCTGGCCTTTTTTAAAATTTGAAATGGGGTTTAGGACCTTGCTAATTTGATAAGACGAGCTTTAAACTTGTGATCCACCTGCCTCAGCCACCTGAGTTGCTGTGAAAATGCATTTAAAAATTTTTAAAAAATATTTATTTTTTAATTGTAGGTGGACACAATAACTTTATTTTATTTTTATGTGGTACGGAGGATCAAACCCAGTGCCTCATGCATGGTAGGTGAGTGTTCTACCACTGAACCACAATCCCAGCCCTAAAAAAATTAAAAAAAAAAAAATTTTTAATTGTAGATGGACACAATATCTTTATTTTTTTATGTAGTTCTGGGAATCAAACCTAGCTACGTAAGTGCTTTACCACTGAGCCATAAACCTAGCCCCTTAAATTTTTTTGATGTATATTTTTAGTTGTTGAAGGACCTTTATTTTATTCATTTATTTACATGGGATGCTGAGAATCTAACCTAGTGCCTCACACATGGCTAGGCAAGTGCTCCACCACTGAGCCACAACCCCAGCCCTAAATAATGCATTTATTTTTTTAAAAAGATATTAAGAACTTTATTTATTTATTATTTTTTTATTGGTGCTGAGGATTGAACCCAGTGCCTTACACATGCTAGGCAAGTGCTGTACATCTGAGCTACAATCACAGCCCCCTAAATAATGCATTTTTAATTGTTATTTTGAGCTTTAAAAAAATAGTTTTAGCAGACCCGGTGGCATGTGCCTGGAATCCCAGCAACTTGGGAGTCTGAGGTAGCCTGGGCACCTTAGTGAGCTCTGTCTCTAAAAAATAAAAGGGGTGAGGGATGTAGCTGTAGCTCCAGTGGTAGTGTCCCTATCTCAAAACACACACATAAAGGTGTTAAAGTGGTCTGTAGCCCTGTGAGATTGTTTTCATTTAGAATTTGTTCAGGTTGTCCCATGGAATTATGTGATATAACTTGCCTGAGGCCCTGGGTTCAATCCCCTAACAGTCTAAAGACTGGGAAGACAAGAATCTGCAGAATAGTCTGATTAAGAGTTGAAGGGAGGGGCTGGGGTTGTAGCTCAGTGGTAGAGTGCTTGTCTAGCATGTGTGAGGTACTGGGTTCAGTCCTCGGCACCACATAGAGATAAATAAAGGTATTTTGTTCATCCATAACTTTAAAAAAAAAAAAAAGAGTTGAAGGGAATGGATGGTTAGCTAGGTAAAAGGGATAAGAATCCTTTAGAAAGAGCAACAGCCTGTGAAAGGCTGGGGGCTAGAGAGTAAGGGAGGCCCTGAAAAGGATTTAGTAGGGTTGGATCAGTTGTCAGTGTGGGAATTTGGGAAATGGTGCTGAGAGATAAGATTTGAAAAACTGTGCAGAAACTGAGTGGAAGGCCTTTTGTAAGCATGGCTTATTAAACTATTGAAACAGTTTAAAATAGTTTATTTATTTATTTATTTTTTAACATTTTTTGGTACTGGGAATTGATTCCAGGGTGCTTTACTACTAAGCTATATATATCCCCAGTCTTTCTTAATTTTTGTATTGAGATAGGGTCTTGCTAAAGTTGCTGAGGCTGGCCTTGAATTTGTGGTCTCCTTTTTCAGCCTTTCAACTTACTTGGATTACGGTTGTGCACCACCCAAAATAGTTTGATATTTTTAATAGCAAACTTATAGGAATTTGACAGAAGACAGACAACATTAAAACCATACAGTTGCTGGGTGCATGGTACATGTCTGAAATTCCTGTAACTTGGTAGGCCATGTCCGGAGAATCACTGGAGCCTACAAGTTTGAGGCCAGCCTGGGCAACAAAGCAAGACACCATCTCAAAAAGATAAACATTAAAAAAACAAACAAAAACAGCAACAAAAAACCCAGAACACAAAATGATGGCCTTGTCCAGAAAAATTTAACTGATTTGTTTATTGTTGTTATAAAGTTGAACTCCTGAAACTTGTTTGCTGAAATGTTTTGACATGCATTAATGCTTTATATTCCTGAATTTGTATTAAAAATTTACCCACCAATAAACATGGAAAAACTGCCAATACCTCACTCCTATACCCTGCTTTTCCTTTTATAATCGCATATTTAGGTACCTTTTGACTCCTGGGGGAAAATATCTAGCATTTAGAACTATTAATAACAGAAAGATTTGATTTATTATTTTATATGTTTGAGAAATGTTTCCCATGGTATTGGAGTCTTTGGCATGTTCTTAACTTATGTGGCCACTGATGTGTTTTGACATCATTGTTACACATTTTCTGGGGATAGTGCAAAGATTGGTGTTTTTTTGGGGAGTGGGTACCAGAGATTGAACTCAGGGGCATTTAACCTCTGACCCACATCCCCAACTGTATTTAGTATTTTATTTAGAGAAAGGGTCTCACTGAGTTGCTTAGTGCCTCACTTTTGATGAGGCTGGCTTTGAACTTATGATCCTCTTGCCTCAGACTCCTGAGCTACTGGGATTACAGGCTTGTGCCACCACACCCGGCTCCAGGTTGGTGTTTTCAACAAGGTCAACTACATAGGCCTTACTTGTCTTCTGCAAAGCACCAGTAGCTGTACTCTGAGGTGCAGTTCTGTTTGGAAATTCTCACACCTGATCACATACTGGAAGGAAAACTTGCTGGACTTTTGATGACATTTAATTTCAAGTGCCACAATACTAGACCTACCATGGTGAAGTTTCTTCACCCCTCCAATATAGGTTGCACTCTTTTGTGTGTTTGGTACTGGAGATTGAACCTGGAGTTGTTTACCCATTGAGATACATCCTCAGCCCTTTTTATTTTTCATTTTGAGACAGGGTCTTGCTAAATTGCTTAGGATTTTGCTACATTGCTGAGACTGACTTTGAACTTGCAATCCTCCTGACTCAACTCCTGAGCTCCTGGAATTACAGGCATGTGCCACCATGCCCAGCTAGGGTGCACTCTTTTTTTTTTTTTTTTTAAAGAGAGAGAGAGAGAGAGAGAGAGAGAGAGAGAACTTCAATATTTATTCTTCAGTTTTCGGTGGACACAATATCTTTGTATGTGGTGCTGAGGATCGAACCCGGGCCGCACGCATGCCAGGCGAGCGCACTACCGCTTGAGCCACATCCCCAGCCCTAGGGTGCACTCTTATAAGTCGTTTTTGTAGTCATTTTCTTCTTGGCTGCTTTCCTACTAATTTATTTGCAGACAGTCTTTTTTTTTTTTTTGCACCAGGGATTGAACTCAGGGGTGCTTAACCACTGGATTTTATTTAGAGACAGGGTCTTGTTGAGTTGCTTAGGACCTCTCTGAATTGCTGAAGCTGGCTTTGAACTCATGATCCTCCTCCCTCAGCCTCCCCAGCTGCTGGAATTACAGGCATGCACCACCAAGCTAGGCGACTATCTGCTTTGTACTAGCCATGATTTAGAGACCCCCGCTACTTATCTTCCTTAACCAGTAGCATCCTTTAATTCCTTTTAAAATCAGAAGGTGAAAGAGTATAGTAATGAATCTAGCCTGGATTGTATTTGTCTTTATACCAATGCAGTCATAGAATGAAAATATGTGAGATATATATGTGTGTGTGTGTGTGTGTGTGCGCGCGCGTGTGTATATGTATTTAAGTATATATATTATATAAATCAATGTTATTTTTTATTAAACACTAACACCAGATGTTATTAATTAAAAAAAACATTAAGCATATATAAATAATATATATATATATTTAATGGTGGAAGAGGCTTTAGAGACAAAGTTCCTAGGGCCCACAAAAGTCATGATGAGCTTAGATAAGAAGTCTTTAACCTTAGACGTGATGAGTTTGAAAGGCCTGTAGGATATCTAAGATTGGAAGCTGTTGTAAATGTGGATGTGGAGCCTAGGAATGAGGTAGGGACTAGAAATAGATTTGAAGGTCAGTAGCATAAAGAAATTTGATACCTTGGAAGCACATTGGAGTGTCATTTGGAGGAGTTGAGGCCTTAAATCCTAAGCCTAAGGGACACCAACTTTTAAGGGGGTTAGGTAGAGGAAGAAGCACCCATTAAGAGACTAAGTATAAAAGTTCCTTCCAGAAAGATGGAAGAGTGGTAAAATTGGTGTCATGAAAATCAAGGGTGAAGTGTATTTAAGAAGGAATGACCAGCTCTATCAAGTAAGATAAGAAGAAATCATGTTCATTGGAATTGGGGTCATGTATGCCATTGGTGACCTTGGGCAGAGGAGTGTAAAGGTGGCAAGACAGGAGTGGGAGGTAAGGAAGGGGGACCAAACAGGGCTTTCTAGAAGTTTGCCTGTGGAAGAGAAGAGATAAGAGATAAAGGAATTTTTGTTTTGTTTTGGTGCTGGGGGATTGAATCCAGGATCTCACCCATGCTTAGTATATGCTTTACTACTGAGCTACGTTCCCTGCCCCAGAATTTTTGTTAAGGTAGGAGAGAGTTAAGCATTCTGGTCAGATACTAGCAGAGAGGGAGATGTTGAAATGTAGGACATAACTGACAGACTAAATCTATGCAGAAGGTGAAGCTTTAGCCTTGGTGGGGAAAGAGGGGGGATGCTCTCCCTCTTTTATCAGAAGGGCAGAATGGCATGAGTTATCAGCAAGTAAGTGAACAAAGAATGAGAGCATGCTGTCCCATCTACCTCTGCCAGATTCTGGTGTTATCACCAGATCCCTGGAAGCTGGCCATTTGAAGTCTTGCAGGGTGTGGCCATCAGGCATTTTTGGCTAGGGTTCTTAACATTTTCCTTACCAGTTACTAAACCTGTTGCTTTCCCTGCAGAATTTTTGGCTCCTGGGTTCTATTAAAAGCCTGTTTTTAAATTTGGAGCATAAATTCTTGGCTACTGAGAACTTTAAACCTAGCCTCTATTACTGACAATCTTGAAAATATATCAGTTTTAGAATTAATATCAAATAATAAAGGAAATTTTTCCTCTTGTTTGACTTAAGGGTAACTTTTTGTTAGCATCTGTCACAATGATTATCATTGTTATGAATAATTGTAACATGTTAGTTAGGAATGTCAATAAAAGTTTTATTCAGATTGCAAAGAAATGTGCAAATAAGGGCTGGGTCTGTAGCTCAGTGGCAGCATCCGTGTCGATCCTCAGCACCACATAAAAGTAAACGAATTGGGGCTGGGATTATGGCTCAGAGGTAGAGCGCTTGCCTAGCATGATGTGGCAGTGGGTTTGATTCTCAGCACCTCAAAAAATAAAGATATGTGTTCACCTATAACTAAAAAATAAATATTAAAAAAAAAGAAATTTGCAAATAAACAAGATTTGGGGTGACTATTTAAAAAATCACTTGAGCTGGGTGTGGTGGCACACACCTATAATCCTAGTGTCTCCAGAGGCTGAGGCAGAAGGATTGCAGATTCAAAGCCAGCCTCAGCAATTTAGCGAGGCCCCAAGCAACTTAATGAGACCTGTGTCAAAATAAAAAGGACTGGGGATGTGGCTCAGTGGTTAAGCGCCCCTAGGTTCAGTCCCTGGTCCGCCCCCCACACCATAAAAAAAGAAAGAAACAAAAAGCACTCAAAATATTCAGGTTTACATGTTGTCTCTGGGAGTTGCCATACCTCAGGGTTCAAAGTGTATTCTGTAGATTAGTAACATACTGATTACTGATATGTAATTGCAATTATGTAGCAAAAATGATTCAAGAAGAAAACATAGTGCCTATTTACCTTTGTATAAGCAATTGTTACTTTGCTTTCAACATTTGTAACTTATTTTAAATTATTATGTATGTAGGTATGTATAGGAATGTCATAGATGCAGCTAGCACAGGCACAAAGTATTGATTATTTTGTGAAAGAAAAAAAAAAAAAGATTTGGTTGATAGTGACCTAAAATTCTCCATATTTCTTTACTGACCATAAGTAATATTTATTACATTTTTCCCATTTCTTTTTTTTTAATATTTATTTTTTTTTAGTTGTAGTTGGACCTGATATCTTTATTATTTTGTTTATTTTTTATGTGGTGCTGAAGATTGAACTCGGGGCCTTGCACGTGCTAGGCAAGCCCTCTACCTCTGAGCCATGATCCCAGCCCACATTTTTCCCATTTCAAAGACATTGAGCTGGGCTGGGTGTGGTCGTGTATACTGGTAGTCCCAGAGGCTTAGTAGGCTGAGGCAGGAGTATCTCAAGTTCAAGGCCAGCCTCAGCAACTTAATGAGGTCCTGCAATAAAAAGTACAGGGGATGTAGCTCAGCGTATGGTACCCAAGTTCAATCTCTAGTACCAAAACAAAACAATAAAAAGGAAAATTTCAGGGCAAGAGAGGGTCCTCTCTATTGTTACTTTTGCTAAAAGGGAGGGTTTTTGTTTTTCCATTACTGCTTTTTCTTATAACACATTCCCAGTTTAGCTACCTTTAGGATCTCTGTTGTTAGAGTCTAGGTTCACAGATTATTTTAATTTCCCAAAGGACTTAGGTGCATATGGACCAAACTTCCCTAGGAGTTAGTTGTCAGCTCCATATTAACTTCCCTGCTGCCTCACCACCATAGTCTATGGTTTAGTGCTGATTCCAGGCTGAAGTGCTGGTGCAGAGGCTTCTTGCAGGCTTTTAGATGAAGGCACTAAGGTTTTGTCTCTAGGATCTGCATGTGTCTGTTTCCTCTCACCCATGTCCCACTTGCTTTTTCTTGGCAAGGGCTTGCCCTCCCTCTCACGTGTTCTTTCTCTTGTGTTTTCCATGGCAGGAAGCTGTTGGCTCTTGGCTGTCAGTATGCCTATATGTAATATGTTGGTAGGAGGCCATACTGCCCACTGATTAGGGGCCCAGAATTAGGAAAATCTTGGATCAATCTTGGCTGTGTGACTTGAAAAAGTGATATAATTGCTCTGAGCCTCAGTTTGCTTATTTTTAAATGGAATACCAGTAATACAGTAATCTCATAGGTATTAGGATTAAATATTGACATGAATGTAAGAGGCTTAGTTCCACATCTAGCATACATTGTTAGCCATCATTATTGTTCATTTTTGTTGTTGCTACTATTATTTTACTAATACTTCTGTTCTTATCACTCCTAGTACTCTTTTTTTTTTTTCTTTTCTTTTCTTTTTTCTGTACTGGCTATTGAATCTAGGACCTAGTACATGTTAGGCAAGTTCTCTATAACTGAACTACATCCCCAGCTCTTTTTAATTTTATTTTGAGGAAGGGTTTTGCTCAGTTTCCCAGGCTGGCCTCAAATTTATAATCCTCCTGCCTCAGTCTCTTTAAGTAGTTGGGATTATAGGTGTGTACCACCATGCCTGACTACTACTACTCTTTGTTGGGCTGTTTAGTTCCTAAGGAGGCTGATGTAGATATTAATGTGAGAATTAGATGCAGTAGGCAAAATGATGTAGCAACAACAACAACAACACACAACAACAACAAAAACTTGTAGAGCTGGATGTGATAGTGCATGCTTATAATGCCAGTGGCTTGGGAGGCTGAGGCAGGAGGATCACAAGTTTAAGGCTAGCCTCAGCAACTTAGTGAGGCCTTAAGCAACTTAGTGAGGTCCTATCTCAAAATAAAAATAAAAAAATAAGCAGCCCTGGGTTCAATCCCCAGTACCAAACAAACAAAATTTGTGGGTTGGGGGTCTAATTAAGTGGTAGAACATGTAGTTAATATGTACAATGACCTAAGTTCAATCCCTAGCACCCCCATCCCCCCATTAAAAAGGAAAAAAAAAAAGGTATTCTGGGAAGATATAGCTCTACAGGACAGAGGTTAAACCCATATATTAGGACTGTCTATTAGTATTGTACAGGTAAGTATAGAATGCTTGCTTCTTAAGGTGCGGCACCCTAGAGAAGAGCCAGGTGTCTTCATTGGCATGGTCTTACATGAACAAGTGAATTCTGAGCCTCATGGTTGATTGAATTATGGCACTTCTGCTGTTCCTAGGTATTGTAAAACCTTACATGAAATCTCAAAGATGGAAGGAAGCTGTTGTACAAAACCTAATGTGGAGCATATCATAATAATATTGTCCCATAACAACTCATTAATAAGTCCTGAATCCCTGATTTTCTCTTTCTCTCTTCCTCCCTCTCTGCACCACCCCCCTCTCTTTTAGGAAGCATTTATTCGAAGCATTTTGTCAAAGCCTTTCAAAGTCCCCATTCCAAATTATCAAGGTAAAATGGAGACTTCAGTTTTTTTAATTAGTCATGTATGAATGTGCCTGAATAGATTAAAAACCTTTGCTTAGATGGGAAATGAAGATGTCAGTCCTGCTTTGACTGTATTTAGGATGACCCTGTGTGAAAGTTGTATTAGCTTCAGCAAGGACTGTCAAGACTGACTGCCCTTCATTTTCTTTGTGGGGATATGCCAATGTTCAGAAAGCTCCTGGTAGGCCAAAGTAGCTAATGGACCTGGGCTTCCTTCAGTCTAAATGTATCCAGTGTCATCTCCTTTATGAGGCTGTGTGGGAATCCTCATTTCTACAAAGTTTCCCCCTGTTCTATTTAGGGCATTGCATTGTGCTAAAACAGGCTGGGGAGGGAGGATGCCAGCCCTCAAGAGCTCTCAGACTTGAAAAGCCTCTTTAAGGTTTCAGACCTTCCCAGGACTGACTCAGGATGAACAAGTTCCAGCCCTCCAGGAGTTTGGAGTTGAATGGGACAAATAAAATGGGAATAGCTCTGATCTGAGGCTGAGGAAATAATGGTTAGGTATAGGTGTCCAAACCAGGTTTGGAGGAGTTTGGGGAAAGAGTGGATCATATGAAAGCTCAGGAAAGGTTATGTGAAGGATGTGCATTCAAGCTGGACCTGCTGGAGCTCCTGAACATAAAGTCTTAGTTGACAGATTGATTGCTGATTTCTAGGTCCTCTGGGCTCTCGGGCATTGGGTCTGAAAAGGACTGGGGTCCGCCGGGCTCTTCATGATCCCCTGGAAGAAGGTGCCTTGATTCTGTACGAGCCTCCCCCACTGAGTGCCCATGATCAGCTGAAGCTTGACAAGTATGTGCATTGATATTCCTTCAGCAGTTGTAGTCTTCTCTAAGAGTATACCTGGATGGGCAGAGGATTATTTTGGTATGACTTTTCTGTGGGACTGGAATAGATTATCATGGAGCTGTTTTAGTTATTTAATCATCCAGAAACTGGTGGTCAGGGGAGGGGAGACCCTGAGGAAGAGCTTGTGGTCATGTCCAGTTAGTAGGGTTCCTCACTCCTCCTACCATGTTCAATCATGAGAGGACTAATTAAAGTGAAGACATGGGAAATCCATCTTTCTTTCCTAACTTTTAGAGCAGGAACTTGGACTAGGCCAGAAAGGTACTTTCTTAGCTGTGTCTGTGGTTCTGGATTGGCAGAACACAACTTCCTGAGGGCAGAACACAACTTCTGAACTTCTGAGGGTGTGCCCCTGCCCCTGTCTGAGCACCATGTTTTTTTTTTTTTTGCTGTGTTTTCTCAGGGAAAAACTTCCTGTCCATGTGGTTGTTGATCCTATTCTTAGTAAGGTTTTGCGGCCTCATCAGAGAGAGGTAAATCAGGGTGAGAAGAATGAGGTATGGGTGGGGAATTGAGCCTGGGAGACTACTTTCTCTGGGGCATTGGTTTTATAGATGCCAAAGTGGACTGAATGCTGTTATTCCCCAGGGAGTGAAGTTCCTGTGGGAATGTGTCACCAGTAGGCGCATACCTGGCAGCCATGGCTGCATCATGGCTGATGAAATGGGCCTGGGAAAGACACTGCAGTGCATCACGTTGATGTGGACACTTTTGCGCCAAAGTCCAGAGTGCAAGCCAGAAATTGATAAAGCAGTGGTGGTGTCGCCCTCCAGTCTGGTGAAGAACTGGTATAATGAGGTTGGGAAATGGCTTGGAGGAAGGATCCAACCTTTGGCCATCGATGGAGGATCTAAAGATGAGATAGATCAAAAGCTGGGTATGATTTAATCTACCTATCCTCTATTTATTTATTTATTTTGTGGTACTGGGGATTGAACCCATGGGTGCTCTGTGACTGAACTACATCCCCAGTCCTTTTTATTTCTTATTTTGAGGTAATAGTCTGACTTCAAAGTTGTGGTCCTCTTGCCTCACCCTCCCAAAGTGTTGGGATTATAGGTGTGTGCCACCATACCCTGCTCTGCTGCTTGCTTTCTTATGTGTATGCTTACTTGTGGCCAGAGTTGAGGGCAATGCAGGAATAGAATTTTCATTGAAAATAGCTGAAATAATCATTTCTAGGCTACATTAACAGCCATTGCTTGGTGTGGTAGTGTGCACCTGTAATCCTAGCTACTCAAGAGGCCAAGGGAGGAGGATCACCGGTTCAAGGTCAGTCTGTGTTATTTAGTGAGACCCTGTCTTAAAATAAAGAACAAAAAGGGGTTGGGGATGTAGCTCAGTGGTAAAGTGCTTGCCTAGCTTGCCTGAGGCCCTGGGTTCAATCCCCAATAACATGCATGCACACAAAGGAAGGAAGGAAGGAGGGAGGGAGGGAGGGAGGGAGAAAGAATAATTTTTTTCTTTAATATGTTCTGATTTGGTTCTTTGAAAACTTTTCTGTTGTAGAAGGATTCATGAACCAGCGTGGAGCCAGAGTGCCTTCTCCTATCCTCATCATTTCCTATGAGACTTTCCGCCTTCATGTTGGAGTTCTTCAGAAAGGAAGTGTTGGACTGGTCATATGTGATGAGGTATTTGATGCTCAACAGTCTGGGTATACAAGATCCACGAAAGTCTCCTAACCTGAGTACTGCCACCATCTCAGAGCTTCACTGATCACTTAGAGTGCTGAGGACAGATGAAGCTGTCTTGGAGAAGATAAGGGAGAAGTAGAGCTTGTAACACCAATCTGCCAAAGAGATTAAACAGTGCTCAGAACTCTAAGGGGAGTGAGTTGCTATGGGCCGATTGGTTTTGTTGTTTCTAGACAGTATTCCTAGACCAAAGAAGAACCTTGAACGATGGGGGGTAGGGGAGGGTTTTGGATTGGTAGAGAGACATGGCACAGTGTTTCAGATAATAAGATCTAGAGTCAGAGATATTTATTTATATCCTTGCTTTGCCACTTCTCAGTAGTGTGACTATGGATTTTTTACATAACTACCTGAGCCTTTGTTTCTGCATCAAGAAAATGGGGTGATAGTACCTGTCTCATAGAATTATTATTATTATTGGTATTGGGGATTGAACCCAGGGATGATGCTTAACCACTGATCCATATCCCCAGGCCTTTTACTTTTTTTTTTTTTGAGACAGGTTGCTTAAGGCTTTAGCTGGGATCATAGGTGTGCGCCACTGCACCTGGCCTCATAGGATTATTATAGTATGCAGGAATTGTGGTAAAGATGCTAGTATTCAGAAAATAGTGAGGGTGGCTGGGTACTTTTACTTTATTTATTTATTTTTTTAAAGAGAGAGAATTTTAATATTTATTTTTTAGTTTTTCGGTGGACACAACATCTTTGTTTGTATGTGGTGCTGAGAATCGAACCCAGGCCGCACGCATGCCAGGCGAGCGTGCTACCGCTTCAGCCACATCTCCAGCCTGGTACTTTTACTTTAGAGAGCCTTCCTGGACTCTAGTGAACTTGGCTACCCTGAGGCTGCTGCTCTGTTTGTACCTTATGGGGAGCACTAGAGTCCTTTTCATATTTCTGGGACACTAGTAGAGAGTTGGTTGAAAGACTTGGCCCCACCTGCTATCTGATTGGCATGCTTGGCTGGGCTCTGGGGCTTCTAGAACAGCCTAGTATCTGAGGAGTGTAGGGATGGGACAGAGGACAAAAACTTACTTTTGGATATTGTGCTTGCAAATTGTGAACTACTTCCTACCTGGGCCTTTGAATTTAGGAAAAGTCAGTCATTGTCTGCAAATTGCTGATACCCTAATGGACTGTTCTCTAGGGAGTGGTAAAGGGTTTAGGAGCTTGAGGGTATGCATGTGACTGCCCTCTGCTTGGGTCCTGGCATCTGTTTCATGATAATGGAGGGGGGTTGCCAGATGCTATGATACATGCCTGTAACCCCAGCAACTTAGGAAGTTGAGGCAGGAGTATTGCAAGTTCAAGACTAGTCTGAGTAATTAGTGAGGCCCTAAGCAACTTAGCCAGACCCTGTCTCAAAAAAAAGGGGGGGGGGGGGCGCTGGGAATGTAGCTTAATAGCAAAGCTCCACCAGAGTTCAATAGCTAGTACCAAAAAAACAATGGAGGGGACTATGCCAGGAACCTGGTCCAGGCCACGGCATTGTGGAAGAGAAGGGTATTGAACTATTGAGTCCTTGAGACTTGGAATCATTTTGATTTTTTTTTTTGCCCCCAGTACTGAGAATTGAACTGAGTGGGATCTTCACCACCAAGCTACCTCCCAAGCCCTTTTTAATTTTTTGCTTTTAAGGCAGGTTCCATTAAGTTGCTGAGGCTGGCCTCGAACTTCTGCCTCAGTCTCCTGAGTCACTGGGATTATAGTTGTGTGACACTATACCTGGCTCATCTTAATTTTTTCTATTCTTTTTTTTTTTTTTAGTTGTAGATGGACACAATAGCTTTATTTTGTTTATTTAATTTTATGTGGTGCTGAGGATCAAATCTAGTGCTTCACACATGCTAGGCAATCGTTGTAATAACCCCAGCCCATTTTTTTTCCATTCTTTATTGTTCTCTTTCTTCATCACTCTGTCCTGTTTTAAGAGCTGACTGCAGAGTACAAGAGACCATATTTCCTCTTGCCACACTGCAGTCCTTATTCATTTACCTTTTTGTCCGCTTTTGTCAAATTATCAGATACTTAAGGAAGCCAAAGTCCTAAAAAATGGTCATCTTGTTCCAGGAGACAGTTTTTCCTTTTAGACCCTGGAAAGGGAAGGGTTGATATCCCATGCTTTCATGTTCCCAATGTGCACAGTGGCTTCCTTCTAGCTGACACTTCTCTAGTATACTTGGTTCTCTTTTTGTTAAAAAAAAAAGAATCCTGATCCTCAGTCAGAAGCCATGGAATCAATCAAAAGCTTGGCTCAGGTATGGATGGGCTGTCCCTTTGTGCCTCATTCAGATCCATTTACTTTACTCACACAGAGCCAGCCAGGTTAAAGATGCTGGGGAAACACATAAAATACATGGATGATACTTAATAGGAGTCATATTTCAAAGAGATAGAAGTGGTAATATTTAATCTAGGTAAATTTTTTGCTTTTAGAAAAGAAGAATCAAACTGGGCATTGTAGTGCCTGCCTATAACCCCAGCAATTTAGGAGGCTGAAGCAGGAGGAACTGCAATCTAGCAAGGCTCTAAGCAACTTAGCAAGGTCCTGTCTCAAGGGGCTAGGGCTGTAGCTGAGTGGCAGAGTGCTTGCCTAGCATGTGTGAGGCACTGGTTTGATCCTCAGCACCATATAAAAAATAAATTAATAAACAAAGATTGTATGTTCATCTACAACTTAAAATATTAAAAAAAAAAAGACCCTGTCTCAAAATAAAAAATTAAAAAGGACTGGGAATATAGCTCAGTGGTAAAGTGCCCTTAGGTTCAATTCCCAGTGCCTCCAAAAGAGAAAATATAGGTAAAGTTCTTAAAGACAGTGCCTGGCACATTAAAAGTTTCACTAAATAGTAGCGTCAATGTGTATATAGTTCCATAGGAACACAAAGATGGGAGAAACCAGTAGTCTTGAGTCATTGAAGAAGGCTTTGCATAGGAGTTGACATTTGAGGAATGTGTCTTTTGGGGAAAGCTCTAGGCAGAGAAGTGGCATTGACAAAGATCTAGGGAAATCCAGCAAGGGTGTGCTGAGGAGGCAAGTCTTCCTGGACTATGACAAGTTGTGGAGATTATCAAAGAATTTAGCTGGAGCCTAATTAATAATTAGGGCTTTGAATGTTGAACTAATGAGCCTAAAGATCTTGGACTTGACCCTATAATTGGGAATCAGTGGAGGATGTACATTCAATTGCATTGTCAAAGGATGACCAGAGGTGTTTGTGCATTTTTTCACTAGTCATTGAGTTATGTGTGATTTGCTTAGCATGGAGTGGGAGCTGAACATAGAAAAGGCACAGACCTGATCTTGCCCATATGTTTCTTGGAGAAGAAGGGAAGGTAGTAGGTTTCTTTATCATTTTCTAGAAGTGGCTCTTTAGATATACTAGCTATGTAGATTCTGGTAGAAGTCAATGAGGCACAAAGGGACAGCCCATCCATACTTGAGCCTGTATTTATTTCTGTTGGGCAAGTATGCATTTCTTTGGAGTTGTGGCTTAGTGATAGAGCACTTGCCTGGCATGTGTGAGGCCCTGGATCTGATGCTCAGTGCTGCACATAAAGGAATGAATGAATGAATGAATGAGTAAATAAATCCTCAGTGCTACACATAAATAAATAAATAGGGGCTGGGGTTGTGGTTCAGCAGTAGAGTGCTTGCCTAGCGCATGTGAGGCTCTGGGTTCGATCCTCAGCATCACATAAAAATAAACAAATAAAATAAAGGTATTGTGGACTGGGAATATAGCTCAGTGGCAGAGCGCTTGCCTAGCATGCGTGAGGCACTGGGTTCCATCCTCAGCACCACATAAAAATAAACAAATAAAATAAAGGCATTCTATCCATCTACAGCTACCCCCCCAAAAAAAATTAAAAATAAATAAAGGTATTGTCCAACTACAACTAAAAAATAAATATTTAAATAAATAAATAAAATAAAATAAAAGATCCATTGACAACTGAAAAAAAAAAGGCCTAAAATAGAAGTTAAGTGTGTGTGTGGCTAGGGTACAGGGAGAATGAGAGCTAGGGAAGAGGTGTGAAGGGAGGCTCTTTAGATATACTAGCTATGTAGATTCTGGTAGAAGGAGTCTAGTCAAGTTCCTTTAGCACTGATGGTCCAGTCAAGGCCAGGAGGCTAATACAGAAGATATTTGGCTCAGAAGATTCTGAGTTTGTTGGACTGTTAGGGAATGAGGAATTCCAGAAAGCAAGGATCTATAATGTGGCCACATGATCTCTAAAGTGGGTAGGTGAGCTGCCAAGACTGGAGATTGGGTAGGGAAAGGGTTGGGAGGGAACAGAGGGAATCCTTGTTTTATGGGTGTAGCACTGGTCTGGAAACTAAAGGTCTCTCTCTTGAGTTTGATATTTTTCCCCAAGCAAGTGGTTGAACCAACTCTTGCGCTATTCTCTGCCTAGTTTCCAAGGTCTCAGGATCTGTCATGTTTGTGACTCCTATTTTCCTGTTTACATAAGACTTTTATACCATTTAGGGATGCAACATTATATACCCTGAGTGAAAATTCTCTTTCAGGGACACAGACTCAAGAACTCTGAAAATCAGACTTACCAGGCTCTGAATAGCTTGAACACCAGTCGACGGGTGCTCATCTCTGGGACCCCCATCCAGAATGATCTGCTTGAATATTTCAGCTTGGTACATTTTGTTAATTCGGGCATCCTGGGTAAGAATCCAGCCTTGTGTCATAATGGAGAGGAGCTTTTTCTTGTCCTGGGAGTGTAACTCAAATTAAGGAGAGAATGCTAGTTAGTTAGACTAGGGAATCTTAGAGGAAGTCAGGAAGCAGCAAAGCCACTGGAAGGTCTTGGCTCTGCTAGACAACCCAGCAAGACCCACTTTGGCCATTTCTTTCTCTGTAAAAGCAGCAGGGATGATATATAGGGCATTTTTGCTCCTCACACCCTACCTTCCTTATAATTAGACCTTTGACCTCAGCAAACTACTCTGTCTTGAATAGTTTCTTCTTTTTTTAAAAATCATTTTTAAATGTATAGTTCAGTGTTATTAAGTAAATTTGCATTGTTTTACAACAATCATCACTGTTCTTCTTTAGAATTTGTTCATTTTACAAAACTGACATTCTAGCCTTTAAATAATAACTCTTCAATCATTCCTTCCCCCAGTCCCTGGCCAATATTATTTGGGCAATTCTTGCATATAGATATTTGTGGAAAGGTTACTGCGTCTCCATCTTGCCAGTCCTCTGGAGAGGCCCATTATGTGGAGAATTGCTGAGTAGCAAGATTGCCATAATGTGAACATATTTGTGTAACCATTACCTGATCAGTTACTACCATACCAGCCCCCTTGTTCTAGTCATTATCTTCTTTCACCTAGAAGTAAATACTTTCTGACACTATGGATTAGATTTGTTCCCCTCCCCCGCCCCCATACTGGGGATTGAATCCAGGGCATTTTACCAGTGAGCTAAATCCCCAGCCCCCTGCCCCATTTTTTGTGGGGGTGGGGAGATGTACTGGGGATTAAACTAAGGGCCACTGAGCCACATCCCCAGCCCTATTTTCTATTTTTTTTTTTAGATACAGGGTCTCACTGAATTGCTTAGCGCCTCATTTTTGCTGAGGCAGGCTTTGAACTCACAATCCTCCTGCCTCAGTCTCTGAGCCACTGGGATTTTAGGTGTGCGCCATGGTGCCCAGTGGTTTCTAGGTTTTTATTCTTTTAAATAGTGATGCTGTGGACATTCTTATACATGTCTGTACTTCAGCCTGGTATTTATTTCTGTTTGGCAAGTATGTATTTCTTTGTCCTAAGAGTGGAATCACTAGGTTGTATATTCTGCTCATCTATATACTCCAGTTTTCCTGATTGTAACAGTTGTATATGAAAATTCCATTGCGTCTACATCAGGGGTCAATAAACTTTGTCTTCATTGACTAGATAGAATTTTAGATTCATAAGTCATCTTTCTCTGTCATAGGTACTTAACTCTTTTGTTGTAGTATAGAAGCATCTATAAATAATATGTAAATGAATGGTCATGACTATATTTAATGAAACTTTATAGAAATAGATGGTCGATGGCTAGCTGTGGTTATAGTTTGCTAATCTTTTTTTTTTTTTTTAATATTGTTTAGTTGTCAATGGATCTTTATTTATTTATATGTGGTGCTGAGAATCAAACCCAGTGCCTCACACATACTAGGCAAGTGCTCTACCACTGTGCCACAACCCCAGCCCACCAGTTTGCCAATCTTATATCACCAATATTACCAATATTTATTACTTTAAAATTTTAGTTACTCTGATGGGTCCTAGCTCATTGCATTCGTCTAATCAAGAAAGTCACTTCTTTCAATATGTTCATTGATCATTTAGAGACCATTCTCTCTTTTTTTTTAAAAAACATTACTGAGCCTTGAACCTCAGACGTACTCTACCAATGAGCTACAATTCTGCCTCTTTCAAAAATTTAGTATTTTGAGGCAGTATCTCATTAAGTTGCCAAGGTTGGCCTTGAATTTAGGATCCTCCTGCCTTAGCCTCCTTAGTCACTGGGATTATAGGCCTGTATCACTGCCCCTGAGATCATCCCTGTTTTGTGAAGTAAACACTTTTTATAAAAAAAAGTTTTGTGACTTTTTTTTTAGTTGTTGATGGACCTCTATTTTATTTATTTATATGTGGTGTGCTGATAATTGAACCCAATGCCTCACACATGCTAGGCAAATGCTCTACTACTGAGCCACAACCCTAACCCATGGCTGATTTTTTTTTTCCCCCCTATTTTTAAACATTTTGTTTATTTGATCATCAGTTGATAGACATTTGTGTTGTTTCTACCTTTCCACCTTTTGGCTGTTGTAAACAATGCTACTATAGACATTCATTTACAAATTTCTACTTGGATATATTTTCACTTCTTTAAGTGTTTACCTAGGAGTGAAATTGCTATATCCCAAGATTTACTCTGTTTTAATTAAGATGTCTATTATTAGATTGAGGAAGTTAGCTTCTATTCCTAGTTTGTGGAATATTTTTTATGAAAAGGTGTTGGAAGATGTTTTATTATTTTACCTTACATTAAAGTCTATAATTTATCTTAAATTAGTTTATTTTTTTTAGTCAATAGACTTTATTGATTTATATGTGGTGCTGAGAATCGAACCCACATATGCTAGGCAAGTGCTCTATCACTGAGCCACAACCCAGCCCCTTAAATTAGTTTTTATATGTAATATAATGTGAGAATTAAGATTAATCTTTTTCCATAAGGATATTTAGTTAGCCCAGCACCATTGAAAAGACTGTTCTTTATGCATTGCATTACAGTACTACCTTCTTCATAAATCAGATGTCCATCTGTGTTAATCTATTTGTGAACTTTATTCTGTTACATTAGTCTGCTTCTGTTAGTATTTTTCTGCTTTAATTACTATTTCTTAATATGTCTGGATTAATGTGAGTTTTAATGTATGTTTTCCAGCTATATTGGGGATTGAACCCAGGGCTACTTTTACTTCTAATTATATCCCCATACCTTTTTGTGTTCAATTTTGAGAAAGAATCTCACTAAGTTGTGCAGGCTGGCCTTAAACTTGTAATCTTCTAGCCTCATCCTCCCAAGAAGTTGGGATTATAGGTGTGCTCCCACACCTGGCCCAGCATAATTTTTTTTGGATTTCTCTACATACAAAATCATGTCATCTGCAAATAATAATTTATGTCTTTTATCCTAATTCTTTGGCTTTTCATTTCCGTTTTATGCATTAATTACAGCTTTTATTCTTTCTTTTTTTTAATGCGGTGCTAAGAAGTAAACCCAGTACCCAACACATATTTGGCAAGTGTTTTACCACTGAGCCACAACCCCAGCCCTTCACATGTACAATGCTGGATAGAAGTACTGTTAGAAAATCTCATTCCTGATCTAGGGGGAAAAAGAAAGCCTGTCTGCTAGCCTGTGTCTTTCCTCTTTCTCTTCCCTGCTCCCTCCATCCTCTCCCTCCCTTCCTTGCTGCCTTCTGATTAAGGACTTTTTTTCCCTATTATTAATTTCCTAGGAGTTTTTTGTTTTGTTTTGTTTTTTTAATCACAAATGAGTGTTGAATTCTATAAATTTTTTGAGGTGAAATTCAAATAATAAAAAATTAGCCATGGTGAATTGTATAGTTCAGTGGCATTTAGTACATTCACATCGTTGTGCCACCACCACCCTTATCTAGTTCCATAAATTTTCATCACCAAAAGGGAAAATTTAAACTCATTAAACAGTTCCTATTTGCCCTCCTCCAAAACTTGGCACCCACCAATCTGCTTTCTGTTTCTGAATTTGCCTTTCTGTGTATTTCATATAAATGTTTTCATATGTGACCTTTTGTGTTTGGCTTCTTTTCTATTAAATATTTTTAGGTGTAGATGGACACAATACCTTTATTTTATCTATCTATCTATCTATCTATTTGTGGTGCTAAAGATCGAACCTAGTGCTTCACTTGTGCTAGGCAAATGCTCTACCACTGAGCTACAGCCCCAGCCTTGTGTTTGGCTTATTTCTATTAGCATAATGTTTTCAAGTTTCCTCCATTTCGTAGCATATATCAGTACTTCATTAAGTCTATATGCTACTTCATCTATTGAAAACAACATTTAGTTATGCTTTTAAAGAGAGTTGGGCCTAATCTTTTAATTGGACAAAGCTTAGTCTATTTATACTTACTTTAATTAATTATATATTTGGGCTTTACTGTTTCACTGTTTGGCCTTTCAAATCTTTACTGCTTTGGGATCTCTTATTCATTAAATAGAAATTGCCTATATTTTGTTCAGCTTTGGCTGGTCTGTGATAATGTGGTTTGTTGCTGCTGGCAGTGGGAAAATCATTTTATCACATGTACTTTTTAAAAAATATTTTTTAGTTGTCAATGGATATTTATTTATTTATTTATTTATATGTGGTGCTAAGAATCAAACCCAGTACCCCACACATATTCGGCAAGCGCTTTACCACTGAGCCACAACCCCAGCCCTTCACATGTACTTTAATTTTCTCTTTTCTCATGTGTTAGGGACTGCCCATGAATTCAAGAAACATTTTGAGATGCCAATTTTGAAGAGTCGAGATGCAGCTGCAAGTGAAGCAGACAAGCAGCTAGGGGAGGAGCGACTGAGAGAGCTTATCAGCATTGTGAATAGGTAACAACCCCAAGCGAGGTCATCCGAATTGCTTCTCATGCCATCTGAGGCCAACCCTTTTGGGGACCTGGTCTGATTAGAGCCCTCAAAGGCTGTGATTCTAGGGAAGGGGTGGGATCTGTGCCATGACTATGACTACTGAATAAATGATGGAGTTTTGCAGTTCAAGTTTCTATTTTCTCTTTAGCCCAGAATCTATAGTATCTATAGTCTGGTTTTAGTCTGTTTACTAATCCACTGATGAAAATCTTCTCTGATGTAGCTGGACTTCCTGAACGAAATATCCCCTGGTATATTATTAGTATATCAGAAGCTTTCTCTTCCCAGGCTCCGTAGTTGTTCTTTGATATTTAGGAGTAGATCTGAAGGTTACCTATTCTTCAAAGGCAGCTCCCAAGCTAAGAGGTCGTCTTATTCCATGTGTCCACATTCTGTGCAGGCAGGTGCATTCTGGCTCCTCTGTTGTAGGTATGCACAATTGATGGGGTTAAATAGTCTTTCTGCTTTTCCTAATGCCCTGGTTACATCTGCTTACTAATTTTAGATAGTAGGGAGGAGAATCAGGGTGTTCTTAGGTGCCTCCCTATCCTCCATGGTCTACCCTGAGCTATCATAAGCTTGGCAGACATGTAGGCAAATTCGGACAGAAACCCCCCTAAAGACTTGGTTTGAAGTTTGCTTTCCCTGAGAGAGCCCTAGGCTCAATGGAAGACCTCAGCCTTTTCTTGAGAGAAGCCAACCTGTTAATGGGAAGAGAGAGTTGTTACTGTAAGGTTGGCTATTTGGAAGGTCTCTGTTCCCATGACTGAGACCCTGATAGAGATATCTTTACCAAAGGGCCGATGGGTCCTTGGCATTGTATACTACTTTAAAAGAGTCAGTCTTGGGGCTGGGGATGTGGCTCAAGTGGTAGCGCGCTCACCTGGCATGCATGCGGCCCGGGTTCGATCCTCAGCACCACATACAAACAAAGATGTTGTGTCCGCCGAGAACTAAAAAATAAATATTAAAAAATTTTCTCTCTCTCTCTTTCTCTCTCCCGCTCTCTCTCTCACTCACTCTTTAAAAAAAAAAAAAGAGTCAGTCTTGGTCCTCTGGATGGTAGCTTTTATTCCAGCATGGTTGTTTTTACAAGCCTTTTGTCTTTTTTTTCGGTTTTTACTAGGTGCCTGATACGGAGGACCTCTGATATCCTTTCTAAATATCTGCCTGTAAAGATTGAGCAAGTGGTTTGTTGCAGGTACTGAAATCAACTGAAGGTTGTAGCGTGAGTGAAAATGAAAGTTTAGCTTCTGAAGCAGGGCTGGGTCTGAAGATATCCTTAGGGGACAGAAATGTAGGATCAAACCCTGAGGCACTTCACCACTGAGCTACATTCTCAGCCCTTTTTATGTTTTATTTTAAGACAGATTGTTGCTTAGTGCCTTGCTAAGTTGCTGAGACTGGCCTTGAACTTGAGATCCTCCTGTCTCAGTGTCCCAAGCCTCTGATTATAGGAGTGTATCAATGCTCCTGGCTGGTCCACTTTTTCGCTACTGACCCAGTTGCCTTTTTATTTAGGCTGACACCCCTTCAGACTGAGTTATACAAGAGGTTTCTGAGACAGGCCAAGCCAGCAGAAGAGTTGCGTGAGGGCAAGATGAGTGTGTCTTCCCTTTCTTCTATCACCACTCTGAAGAAGCTTTGTAATCGTGAGTTGAGCCCTTGCCCTGATCTTCTGTATAGTGAGCAATGGAGAGAGGCTCCCATAGATAGTCCAGTAACTTTTCTGTAAAATTGTCTAGAGACCCCATAGCAGCCTATAGCACTTGTGATTCCAAACCTCCCCAAGGCATGAACCCTCATTGTGGACTCTAATAAGCTAGACCCATTGCTTTGGAAAATATAGCTTATTCTGTGCCCAGCTAATGCTTGATTCTTGTTGTACAAGACTGTGTGAGCACTTGCACACACATGTTCATATAAAATGTTAGGCATTCGGAAAAATGATAAAGCTCCATGTCTTAGAGAGCTCTGGTATAGCTCCCTTCTTGTTGGGAGAACACACTAGGGAGCGAAATTATTCATCCATGGTCCCAGATTTTACTGGCTGCACCCTGTTGGAACTGGGAGGTGGAGACTGAGTGAGTGCTGCTGAAAAAGGCCTCCTAGGTTGGGCATTTAAAGGGCATTCTAGTGAGCTCTTAAGTAGAAACTTCAGAAAGCAAAGTAGCTGTATTGTGGTGTGGAGTTTTTGTTTTGTTGGTTTTTCAGATCCAGCTCTCATATATGATAAGTGTGTGGAAGAGGAGGATGGTTTTGAGGGTGCCTTGGACATCTTCCCCCCTGGTTATAGCTCCAAGGCTCTAGAGCCACAGCTGTCAGGTAAGCTTTTCTGCCAGTATATGGACCTTTCCAGGAAGAGCAGTGGAAGGAGAGTGGGAAATTATCTTTGCTGGAGCCATCCTGTCTCAAGGCAGGATAAAGAATATGGGCTGGGAATGTAGCTCAGTGGTAGAGTGCTTGCCTAGCATGCACAAGTCCCTGGGTTTGATCCCTAGCACCATAAAAAATTAAAAAAAAAAAAAAAAAAAAAGCAAGAATCTTGGTCCATTGGGATGGCCAGTGGGGGGACTGATGGTTGCTGTTTATTCCAGGTAAGATGCTGGTCCTCGATTATATTCTGGCAGTGACACGAAGCCGCAGCAGTGACAAAGTAGTGCTGGTATCCAATTATACCCAGACATTGGATCTCTTTGAGAAGCTCTGTCGGGTTCGAAGGTAAGGAGGATCCTAAATAGGCTGGCAAGGGATGTGCTTCCTCACCACCTTCTAGAAAAATTAGGTATTCTGATTGGTGGGTATGGTTCAAGATGTTGGTACATGAAGGACTTCCATGAATATATCTCTTTTCTTATTGTTGTAATGGCTCTAGCTCCATGTCTAAGCAGAATCCCCCCACTGGTCCTTCAGGTATTCCCACAGGTCAGAGTCCTGACCCTTAGCTCCCTGCCCTTCTCTTTGGGAATACCAAAAAGCTATGACATGAGCAGCCTCACGCATGGTTTGGTGGACCCTTCAGGGGCCATGGCTCCAAAGGGGGCCCTCCTTTCCTCTTGGTTTTGATCTTTGGATCTCTCTTCAGGTACTTGTATGTCCGCCTGGATGGCACAATGTCCATTAAGAAGCGAGCCAAGGTTGTGGAGCGCTTCAACTGTCCATCGGTAAATGCATAGCCCCTGCCCCCACACCACCAGTGCAGTAACATCAGAATTAACACTTGATAGAGAAGATGTAAATGGGCTCTACAGTCAGAGTTTTTCTTTTCTTTTTTCTTTTTTGGTACTGGGTATTGAACCCAAGATTGCTAAATCACCGAGCCATATCTCCAGCCTTTTTTTAAAATTTTGCAACAGAGTGTCTCTAAATTGCTGAGGCTGTCTTTGGATTTGTGATCCTCCTGCCTCAGACTCCTGAGTTGCTGGAACTACAGGTGTGTGCCACCATGCCTGACTACATCAAGTTTTTATGTTTTGGGTTTTGTTTGGGGGCGGGATATGGGGGTGAGGGTTAGGCTTGTTGGTCATTTCTGCGCTGGAAACTGGTTTTGTAGACTGGGAAATTGGCTAGTTGGCAGGCAAAGTATGGGTTATCACAACTGAGTATGAGTAGAAGTAGCATGAGAGTGGCTGGGATGAGGAGGATCCCAGTTTAGGCTATAAGAGATTCTTGCTCCCCTGCTTTCTTTTTTTCCAGAGCCCTGATTTTGTCTTCATGCTGAGCAGCAAAGCTGGAGGCTGTGGCCTCAATCTCATTGGGGCTAACCGGCTGATCATGTTTGACCCTGACTGGAATCCAGCCAATGATGAACAAGCCATGGCCAGGGTCTGGCGTGATGGTCAAAAGAAGACCTGCTATATTTATCGCCTGCTGTCTGTAAGAATGGTGATGGTGGTCACTGTGGGGGTGGATCATGGAACAAAATCTTCAAAACCCATTTTAAATTGTTTCTTATTGTCCCTCTTTGAAATAGACACTTCTATCAGTGCTATTCTATAGGCCTAGCCTTGAGCCCTGTATTCCTGTTCTCCTTTCCCCTCTCTTTATCCAATCCCCCCCACCCCCTCGCCTTTTTTTTTTCTTTTGGTGTTGGGGATTGAACCCAGGGGTGCTTTACTACTGAGCCACATCTCTAACCCTTTTTTAAACATTTTTGAGACAGGATCTAAGTTGCTTAGGGTCTTGCTAAGTTGCTCAGAGTGTCTTCAAACTTGTGATCCTCCTGCCTCAGCCTCCCTAGTCATGAGGATTACAGATGTGTGCCACCATACCTGGCTTCCAAGTGGTTCTTATTACGCTTTTTGGATGCTTGTTCAGAACATCCTTTGTGCAGGGCATCTATTTTCTTTCATAGCCAATTCCTATTGTGTTGTTTGCCTTCTAAGTCTTCTCATTCCCTCATGTCCCTTGGGTTAAGAAGCTGTTATGGCATTTTCAGTTACCACCTTGAGTCTGTCCCATAGTTCCTCTTTTGCAGCTCATGTTGTCTGATTTGACAAAGGGTAGTCTTTTCTTCCTTGCTACAGTCATCTAACCTTTGCTATGTTCCTAATTTAGCAATGATTTTGAATATTAGTTGTCTTTGTTTCTTTCCCAAATCTAGCAATCATCCTGTCCAACTTTGAGGACTATGCAGTTTTCCAGCATTCTGGCATTCATGTTTCTTTGACTTCATCTCTAATGACTCAACTCCCCCTCATCTAATTTCTCCTAAGGCCTTAATTACTCTCATCCTACTTTCACCTCCTGACCTTCCAGCTTTTCCTTCCTTATAATACAGTAAGAGAACCTCTCATGTCCACTCCCAGTCAGTTTGGCTTGGCTTCCTTTTTTTTATTCAGCCTATTCCTGTGTGTCCTATCAGCTACCCTTCCCAACATTCATTTCACTTGGATCATTTTAGCTATTCTCAGCTTCCACCTCAACTATATTTTGCATTTACAGGTTGGTACTATCATAAATTCATGTTATCTTGGGCTGAGGATGTGGCTCAAGCGGTAGCACGCTCGCCTGGCATGCATGCGGCCCGGGTTCGATCCTCAGCACCACATACAAACAAAGATGTTGTGTCCACCGAAAACTAAAAAATAAATATTAAAAAAATTCATGTTATCCTTTTTGGCTGAGCCATTTTATTTCTTTCAATGACCATTTCAAGCCTTTACCACTTCCCTACCTGTCTCTTTCTGTAGAGAGGGCTATCTTTACAGAGAGAACGTAAACTACTAGGCATGAATTCGTTTACCTCTTTTCTATAAATCTCTATACCTGGTATTTCCCTTCCTATGCCAGAGAAAGATTCCCTTCTTCTTTGGAATTCACCCTTCTAGCTCTGCTGCTGTTAAACCCTTCTTCTCATCCTTTCCTTCCTTCCTTTCCTTTTTTTTTTGGTTGGTGTTGGGGATTGAACCCAGGGGTGCATTTTATTATTATTATTATTTTTTATTTTGAAACAAGGTCTTACTAAGTTATCCAGGCTGGCCTCTAATTTGGAATCCTCCTGAGTCACTGGGATTATAGGCCTGTGCCATCATGCTCAGTTCTTAGTTGTTCAATTTTTTTTCCCCCCAAAGCCTATAAACATGCTCAAATAGTTGCCATTTTTTGGGGAATTGCACCCAGTGGTGCTTTACCATGGAGCTACACCCCGTCCTTTTTAATTTTTATTTTGACACAGGGTTTCATTTTTTTTTTATTTTTTAAAAATTTTTTTGTAGTTGTAGATGGGCAGCATGCCTTTATTTTTGTATGTGGTGCTAAGGATTGAACCCAGTGCCTTACACAAGTGCTCTGCCACTGAGCCACAGCCTCAGCCCCTTGACACAGGGTTTCACTAAGTTGCTTTGGGCCTTGTTAAGTTGCTGGGGCTGACCTCAAACTTGGAACCTCCTGCCTCTTACAGGTATGTGCCGCTGAGTCCAGCTAGCTCCCTCATTTTTTTTTTTACCCTTTTGGTACTGGGGATTGAGCTCAGGGGCACTTGGCCACTGAGCCACATCCCCAGCCCTGTTTTGTATTTTATTTAGAGACAGGTCTCACTGAGTTGCTTGGCACCTCACCATTGCTGAGGCTGGCTTTGAACTCATTATTATCTTCCTGCCTCAGCCTCCCTAGCCACTGGGATTATAGGCAAGCACCACCACTAGGATTACAGGCAGGCTCTCTCCAGAAAGCTCCCACTTTTTTTTAAATGGTTTATTTTTAATATTTTTTTTAGTTGTAGTTGGACATAATATCTTTTTTATTTATTTATTTTTATGTAGTACTGAGGACCCAACCCAGGGCCTCGCATATATATGCTAGGCAAGCACTCTACTGCTGAGCTACAACCCCAGCCCAGCTCCTACCTTTTTTAAAAACAAATTTTCAATTTTTTTTTTTTTTTTTTGATACTGGGAGTTGAATACCTGGACGCATAACCACTGAATCATATCCCCACTATCCTCAGCCCCTTTTTGAGATAGTATCTTGCTACATTGCTTACGGCCTCACGAAGTTGCTAAGTCTGGCCTTAAACTTGTGATCCTCCTGACTCAGCCTCCCAAACCATTGGGATTACAGGTGTGCATGTGTCACCGTGCCTGGCTCCCTCTGTCTTATTTTAACCACAATTCTGGAGTGCTTTCCATTTGTTTACTTCAAACATTTCCAAAGCATTAAATGAACTTCTTCACCTCTCATCATCTTGGTCATCAGACTTCTTATACCGGCCTTCAAATGTACTACAAGCTTCCTAATTGCCAAAATAGAGGACTCTTTATTTTTTTTCCCTGGTGGTAGGGATTGAACCCAGAGATTGCACATGCAAGGTAAGCACCAAGCCACATCCCCAGCCCTACATAGGGCACTCTTTTGAGTTTTTTTTCCTTGTGATTCTTGTCACTAACACTAAGCCTTTCTAAAATTCCCTCGAGAGGTGCTGTGAAGTAGCTCAGTTGATCACTTGCCTAGCACATGGAATGTCCTGGGTTCTACCTCACCCCATTTTCTTTTCTTGTCTTGGAAACTCCACTCTGATTCTCTTATCCTCTCCAGTTATATACTCATTAGATTGGTAAACCTTAACCCAGATCTCTTACCTGAGCTTCAGACCCATATTTCTATTATTAAATCTACATTTCCACTTGAATCCCCCCCCACACTATTTTTTTGGTAGTGCTGGGAATTGAATCCAGGCCTTCTGTATACTAGGCAAGTGCTGTACCATTGAGCTACACCCAACAACTGTCCACTTATGAGTACTTTATGACTAAACTCATTACTCTTCTGAATTTAAAAAATTGTTTTTTTAGTTGTAGATGGATACAATACCTTTATTTTGTTTTGTTTTTATGTGGTGCTGAGGATCGAACCCAGTGCCTCACACGTGCAAGGCAAGTGCTCCACAACCCCAGTCCTACTTTTCTGAATTTTATCATTTAATATTCTCATTATTCAAGCCTGGAAATCATCTTATGGAACTATTTTTCTGTCTTAAAGACAGCTGGGCTCCTACCAGTTATTGACTTCTCAATTTCCTCTTTGTCTTCTGCTAAGGTCATAGTCACCTTTTGTCCCATCCTGACCCATTCTTCACATACTGCTTCTAGAATAAATTTTTTAAAAATTATAAATTTGTTTTTCATTTAAGACAATGCCAAGGTGGTTGCGGTAGTGCATGCTAGCAACTTGGGAAGCTAAAGCAAGAGGATTGCAAATTTGAGCCCAGCCTCAGCAACTTAGTAAGACCCTGTCTCAAAAAGTACTGGGGATGTGGCTTAGTGGTAAAGCACCTCTGGGTTCAATCAAAAAAAAAAAAAAAAAAAAGCCAATCCCTTCATTTTAGTATCCAAGGTTTTCTAATATGGCTTCTGCTGAATTTCCCAGCCCGTTATTATTACTCTTCACAATCTTCTAGTCAGCCCAAATTAAATTTTTGTTTTGAGACAGGACCTCACTGTGTTGTCAAAGCTGTCCTCAAACTCCTTGGCCCAAATGATCTTCCCACCTCAGTCTCTTAAGTAACTGAACCCTTCATAATCTTCCACTAGGCCTGGTTTATGCCTTTGTTCCTATGGTACAAATAAATGCTTTTGCTTCTCTCTACACTTGCAAACTGTCTATTCATTTTCAAGATTTAGCTCATATGTCTCTCTTTTCCACTAGTCCTAATTCAAGGATAGGGATCATATTTGATTCTTTGTGTCTTGTTAATGCAAAGCCTGACATGAAATAGATACTCAAACCATAATTATTGAATAAATGAGTCTGGCTTGGTGTAAAGATCTAAAGCTGCTGTCAACCTAAAGGGATTTAGCCAGGCCCTGAGATCCTGTACTGGTAGAGAAAGTAACCTGGGTGAATAAATGTACACAAGTCAGGTTTCTAGGAGATAGCCTAGAGCTGGGTGCATGGTGCACACCTATAACCCCAGTGACCTGAGAGTCTGGGGGCAGGAAGCTTGGGCTGCTTAGTGAGAGCCTCTGTTAAAATAACAAGTAATAGAGCTAGGGATGTAGCTTAGTGGTAGAGTGCCCCTGGGTTCAATTCCGAGTACCACCAAAAAAAAAAAAAAAGCGTAAGACTGGGAAAGTGGGACCCAGCTAAGCAAAGAGGCTACTCCAGGATTTGTACTTTTCATTCCCCTCTCCTTCTTTTGAGTGGCCTTAGTTTCAACTCTTTTGAGTTTCCCTGCTCCCTCTGTATGGCGATGACTGAGCCCTATATCCCTTGCACTCTATTCTCCCAGGCAGGAACCATTGAGGAGAAGATCTTCCAGCGGCAGAGCCACAAGAAGGCACTGAGCAGCTGTGTAGTGGATGAAGAACAGGATGTAGAGCGGCACTTCTCTCTGGGCGAGTTGAAGGAGCTCTTTACCCTGGATGAGGCTAGCCTCAGTGATACACATGACAGGTGGGTTGACTGCCCTCACTATTATCTCTCAGCTACCTGCTCAGCATAGAAATGGGGTCTGTAGTGACCACAGCTCTGTCCTCTGACCCTAGGCTGCACTGCCGCCGTTGTGTCAACAGACGCCAGGTCTGGCCACCCCCTGATGGTTCTGACTGCACTTCAGACCTGGCCCAGTGGAACCATAGCACTGATAAGCGGGGGCTCCAGGATGAGGTACTCCAGGCTGCCTGGGATGCTGCCTCCACTGCCATCACCTTCGTCTTCCACCAGCGTTCCCATGAGGAGCAGCGGGGGCTCTGCTGATAACCAGCGGGTCTGAGTGTAGCTGTTAGCAGAAGGGTACAGGGAAAAGGGGCTACCTGCCCCAAGGGTCCTGCTAAATTTTGTTCTCTGGGAGAAAATCATCAAGAAGGGCTGCATGATGTTTGCCCAAAATTTATTTTATAAGAAAAACTTTTCTGGTTAAAAAAAAGAAAGGAATAAAGGTATGAAAGGGACTGAGGCCTGGGAACAGTGTGGTAAGCCCATAGGGAAAAGGCCTGGTAGTAGGCATTCCTATACTTTTCTAAAGCCTGGGTACTTGCTTGAGGTGGGAAGGCAGGACCCCAGGAGGGGGCCATCCTCAGAGATAGTGATGACCACTATAACCTCTCGGCCAGGGTTCTCTGGTTTTGAGTAAGGGCCCCAAAGGCTCTAAACCCAGCTGTGAGAATGCCTTTGCTGGGCCCTGTCAAGGCCTCCAGAACCTCAGTGCCAGGGAAGATGGAAAAGAGAGGGAAAGGGTGGCAGAAAGAGAAAGACAGAACTAGTGATTGGGGATTCTGGGCAGCCCATGCCTCAGCCCCTGCAAGCTGATGGTACTGAGCATGGATCTGTGAGGTATGGGCCCCATCACATGGTGCTGACATAATCCGCGAAAGCCTGGGATGAGTCCCACGAGTCGCTGACCACGTGGCAGGTGGCCCGGAGCCGCCGGATAGCTTCCCTGGCTGTGACTGCATCCTGGTCCAGCCAGTTCTGGAAGAGACGCAGGTGACCAAAGGCTCCACGGCCCCAGCGCTCCAGCCGCTTGGCAAACTCCAGAAGCCCATCTGGCTTGATGCAGTTGGAACTGGTAGGGATAAGATAGATTAGATATCCAGGAAGCAATTCATCCCTGTTAGATATCCTGTGGTCCCATCCCTCCCTGCCCACTACCATGTACCTGATGTCCAGCTGACAGAGAGAAGAGGAAGAATCCTCTGAGAAAACATCTGCCAGGGCCAGCAGGCCAGCATTCCCTAGATAAAAGGGGAGAAGTGCCCATTACCTCTACCAAGAACAGGAATGTGGGTATTCCAACCTGACTCTGACCGGGAGAAGCCTAGCCTACCAGTTCCTAAAGCCCCAGCACATAAATGTTTATACTCCAACCTTCCTATTCCCAGTGAAGAGGTTTGTGTCTATACCTAGTGAGTTTCTAGGTCAAAGGCCTGGCTCCTTTCCCCTCTCCCTCCCTAGGGTCTGGTCCCCACCCAGGCGGTTCCCTGGCAGCCGAAGGCCCTTCAGTGTCGAGTTGCCCTTCATAGCAGTCACCATCTCAGGCAGAAATTGGGCTGGGCGCTTCTCAAACAGACGGCAGAAGGAGAAGGTAATTTCTGTCAAGAGAAATTAGAGTAAATTCTAATGGTTATATTAGGACTGGTGTTGCCCCTCCTGCCCCAGGTGGCCCTAGCAAAGTATGCAAACATTTTATAGGAAACCCAGAAAGGGGAAGGAATTGTCCAAATCTGCAAGCAAGGCTGAAACTACATAAGGATTTAAATGAGAGAGTAAGCCTAAATGTTACTGCATGTACACTTCCCCATTCACTTCCTTCTTTCCTTCTGTATCCACTGACCACCCTCTTTGCAGGTGTGAAAATTAGAGACAAGGTTATGAGAGACTGGCATAGCACCTTTATTTATCCCCACCACCACTATTTCTGCCAAGCTCTGAAAAGTAAGAAATACTTTTGGGTGAGATACTCTAAAAGAGTAATTTCTCAGTGTTTGCAGAGGAGGAGTTGAGTTTGGGACTTTCAGAAGGAGGTTCATACAGGTTCTATGTTCTTTATAGTTGAGGATACAAGGTAAAGAAAAGAACACTGGTTTGCTCACTTAGTGAGACAGTAGCAGAACCACAATAAGAACAAAGATGTCTAGGTTCTGGAATAGGAACTCACCTTGAAGAGTCAGATTCTGTAGCAAAAAGAGCACCTCGCTCTGACAGTCAGCCAGATTCATGTCATGGAAGCTCAGCCTCTTCAGGGCTAGGTTGTACTCTGGATAGGAGACAAAGACCATGGGCCAACCTTAATGTTTCCAGAAAGCAATGCAAGATTCCTGCCTATACCTCTTCCACTGGCTGGATCCTACCTTTGAGTGTCTGCAACACAAGCCCAAAATCCTGGGGAGAGGCAAAGGTGGCACTATCCAGGGACAGCTGCTGCAGAGAACCTGAGGCCTTCAGAACAGAGCAAAGCAGTGGAGCTGGCTGGGCGCCTCGTGGAAATCCCATCTCCAGCTGCTCCAGACAGTTTTCTAGATGTGATAGGGAGAGAAGATTCTTACTGGTCATGTCTACATTTCTCCCATAGCAGGGCCCATTCCATCTTTAAAATATTCACTAAGAAAATCATTTATCTACTTGGCCTTGAGTTTCAGAAACTCTGCTAGGTTTTGGGAATAAAGCACTCAATAGGAGATTTGGCCCTTGCCCTCATAGAGCTTTTAGTCTAGGTAGACTAAACCACTCGGACACATGCAGATATAATAGGGTATGTACTGTTGGGGGATAAAAGTCGTAGAACTAAGGAAATGTGTAGCAGGGGGACCTAAACTGACCTGAAGGTCAGTTTGGTTCTTGGCTCAACTATGGCCAAGGTCACTCTTCTGGATTTATGGTGGTCTGGGCTCTGTCTAGCCCAAGGTTATCTTACAGAACTGTAGCCTCCAAAGAGGAAACAGATTACAGCTCAGCCAGGAGTGAGTGGAAGCTGATCTGGAGTGGAGGTCCTCCTCTCCTCCCCACACAAATGCACATGCATATTTGTGGAGATATGTGTGTGCATACACATGCAGTACTTCACCTGGTATCTCCTCATCTCCAACTATGTGGTTAGGGGGTCCTGCATTCCCTGGCACTGCAGGGTTGTCCCGTTGGCTTGGGTGATCAACACGAATAGAGAGGACCCGCAGCAAGGGCAGGGCTCGCACAATGGCACGTGTCAGCTCCAGGATGGGCAGTGGTGAGAACAGGTCACTGAGATGCAGGGCACGGAGGCGACATCCAGCCTGGCCTGACAGGGCCCGCAGGCTGTCCAGCAGGCGGAAGATGTTAGAACCCAAGCCTACAACAGGAAAAAGTCATGGGGGAGTGTCAATAGAGTTAACATTTAGAGACATTTAAATATTTCCATTACTACCAAATCCAATTTTTAAAAACAACTTGTCTCTCAATTATTTATCTGTCTTGCCTTTTTCCTCAGGGAACCAGCAAACTGATGCCTTCTGGGCTATGCCCTCAAATATCAGGGCAAGTCACAAAACGGAAGAAAAAAATATGGCAGGTGGCATGTACTAGCAGCAGAATGCCAGGTTCAGAGAGCAGTAAAGGTTTTCAGATTTCTGGGTTCCAAGTAGTTTTTTGAAGAAGCCTAGCCTTGGATAAAATTTTAGACAAAGAAGGTATAGCCAAGGGTTACAGCTAGAAGGCAAGGAATGACTTTGAAGGCTTCTCTGGCTAGATGGGGGCTCAAGAAACTGAGATCTAAAGGGTGGGAGAGTAGAGTCCATGTGAGAAGTCCTGAAAGCTAGGCTGAAGAGGTGGTTTGCTCTCCTATAGGCCATTGGGAACAGGTATAAACTGAGTAGCAGAGTAACGGTGACCCAATAGAGAATACATTAGAGACTCATTGAGTGGGATTGGGGTGGAGAAAGATAATCACATCTACATTGGAATGTAGCTCAGTGGTAGAGTTCTTGTCTAGCAGGTTCAAAGCTCTGGATTCTATCCTTAGCACAGGAAGAAACTAAAATGAAATCCATGTTCCACAGAGTAAATAGGACCAGAAGGATCCTTGGAATCTGTTCCCTTCCGGACTGTGCTGATTACTGTTGATTTGTTTATTTATCTAAGTTTTATCCAGTAACTAAGTATGCAATGAGGTTTTTTTTTTTTTGCGGGGGGTGGGGTGTTAGACACTAGTAAGCAGCACATGTGATGGAACTGGGAAAGTAGAGTATGATGAAAGTACAAAGGTTTGGATACCTAACACCTAGTCTGCCTTATTATCAGTAAGGGCTTTCTAGTTGAGTCCTAAAGAATAAAGGAGACAGGTTAAGAAAAGAGAAGAGTGGTTGTGGCACAGAAAGGACATACAGAAGGTTAAGGAGTAACAGGTTCTAAGAACTAAAAAATACTTGTCACAGAGCTAGGGTTGTGGCTCAGTGGTAGAGTACTTGCCTAGCACGTGTGAGGCACTGGGTTTGATTCTCAGCACTGCAAATAAATAAATGAGCAAAATACCCATCAATATAAAAAAATTTAAAAATATTTTTATAGCTGGGTATGTAAAATATAAGGGAAGCATTCAAGATACAACTATAGAGGTAAGCAGGAGCGAAGACATGAATGACTCTTGAAGTAAAGTATGGGGATGTTCCATGGAAAGGTTTTTAGATAACTGACAAGTCATTCAAATCTGCAAGTTTAGAAGAATCCTTGTGCTGCTGTGCACAAGGGACTATAGAGAGGAGAACTGTTGAAATGAAACCAAAGTAAGGAATAATGGTAGCCTGAATGAAGGATGTAGGGGTAGAGAAATAAATGGATTTGAGAGAAAAATGGGACCTGATGACCAAATATATATGTAGTGGAGGCAGAATTCTGGTTTCATTGTACAATTAAGCCAACTCTGATATCACTGAGAACATAAGATTAATATATAGAAGGTACATCCAAGGTTAGACATGAATAAGGTGTTGTCAGTTTGATACATGGGTCTAGAAGCTGAGGAGGAAGATCTGGGTTAATTCATAGAATGAGGAATCATTGATAGTTGGCCACTGAAGCCACAGGAATGGATGAAATTGTCCTGGAAGGGTGTGTAAAGTGGGAGAACTGTGAGGAACTCAGAACATTAGTAGCATTTGGAGAGGGAAAACATTTGGATTGCTGAGGTAGTGGAAATACTTCACAAAGAAGATTATTAATAGCAATTGCTGCCAAGATACATGTAAGATGGAGATTGAAAAGTATACATTGCATCTAGTAACAAGGAACTTGGTGATCCAGGTCCTTTACAATATACGTGGAGATAGTACAAAGTGACTAAATTTGTGTTGAGCAGGAGAGAATAGGGGGTAGTTAAGAGGATATAGATGAAGAGAGATACAGTGGTAGTTTTTGGTGGGGAGACAGTGAAAAGAAGGGAGGCAGCATAGAATGGTTAAAAGCATAGGATTTTTTGGGGAGT